AGGGTCAGAGGGAGAAGTAGACTCCCTGCCGAGTAGGGAGCCCAATGCCGGACTCCATCCCAGGACTCCGGGATCATGACCTGAGCTGAAGGCAGTCGCTTAACCAACTGAGCCACCTAGGTGCCAGAGGGTTTAAATAGATTTAAAAAAACACAAGGAAATCCCTTTTCCTGAGTTAGAGAACTTGAATAGGCAAATTCTGACCACTTAAAGTTACTGTTTCTTACCGTAACTAATGATAATCATTTAATGAGCAGCGTACTATGTGTGAAGTCTTCAGCTTAGGGCATACATAAATTAAATACTTTAATCCTCTTGTAAACCTATAAGGTAGGTGTTATTATTCCTCATTTTACAGAAGAAGAAATGAAGACCCCGAGAGAGAGTGCACTGTCATGGTTTGTGGCAGAGTCAGAATTTTGAGCCAGATCTGCTCAGTTCCAGAGCTTCTGCCCTAAGCTGTTATAGCAAATACTTGGGCCTCCTGCCCTCCTGCCACCCCCATTGCAGGGTTACCTAGCAGTCATAGCATTCTTTGTGACTGGTCCTCAAAGTGGCGTCACAGTTTTTATTAGTTCAGTGCTCCTGGAGTTGAAGCCTATTCATTGTAACCATTCTGTTCTACTGTTTTCCACGGCACAGCACCAAGAATATGAGAAGAGATAGGATAAGGTCCGCTGTTTATTTATGAATAGATGAATTGTATTCATTTCTGGTGGTTTTTACTCACTGGTATGCAGAAAATAGTGATATTCAAGGCAGTGAATAAATAAGTTTATTTTTTACCCTACAGCTAAGGGATCTTGTTGAAATTGCCATTTTAGTATTATGAAAGGCTGGCATTTGGCTAAGATTTGTATGAGTGGAAGAAATTGCATTGGAAATAATTTCCTATTTGGAGGCTTAATTTATATTTGATTACCCAGGAACTTTTATGATGATATAATCTGTGCTTATGTCACATTTATTAATTTGTTTTCTAATACCTATAGTTCCCAAGGAGGAATAAGATAAAAAAAAATGTAGGTATTTAGTCACAGAATAAAGGGTATTCATCGTTTAAATTAGTAATTCTGGAGACTTAGAAGTTGATTTTTGTTGTATGGTGGAATAAACACTGGGTTCTAATCATCATGAGTTTGTGAACCTAGCAGCTTTACTAAGTACACACAGCCTGGGAAAAATCTATACCCTCTCTGAATTTCCATTTGTTTATCTCTTGAAAGGGGTAAGTGACATCTACCATAACTTTCAGTAGATTTATTGAAATATCAGATGAAATATCTATAACCTACAGATGCATGCTATACTCTGTCAAGTGCTTTATAGAGGTCTTTTTTTTTTTTTAAACAAAACTGGACCTGTATGAAAAAATATACTTTTACTTTCAACATGTAGACTGTTTTGCTGGGACTTTTTTCCTTTGTAATATTAATGGTACGGATTTAAGAATTTAGTTGACAATTTAAGATGTAATCTGAAATTTGGGTTTATAATTCTATTAACCTATATTATATATAATCTATATGACATATAGTTCTATAAAGAGGGCTTGTAAGATTCTTAAAAATCCTATGGTAAGTAGAATAATGGCCCCCTAAATATGCCTATGTCATAACCTCCAGAATCTATGAAGGTTCTATCACAATCTATGTTAGGTTCTATCACAAGAAGAAATTAAGGTTGCTAATGAGCTGCCTTTAAGATAAAGAGATTATCTTGGAATATCCAGGTAGACCCAGTGTAATCACAAGGGTCTTTAAAAGTGGAAGAGAGAGATGTGGCATTGGAAGCAGTGGTTGGAGTGTTGTGATTGCCGGCTTTGAATGAGGGAGTCACTGAGCCAAGGAATGTCAGCAGCCTCTAGAAGCTAGAAAAGGCAAGGAACCTCCCATAGAAAGACTCTAGAGAGATTCTTCCATAGGGCCTTTAGAAAAGACTGCAGCCATGTAGACACCCTGATCTTTAGCTTAGTAAAACTAATTTCAGACTTCTGATCTCCAGAACTGTAAGATAATGTTTGTTGTTTTAAACTACTAAGTTGGTAATTTGTTGCAGCAGCAATAGGAAACGAATACACCCATTTATTATAAATCACCTGAAATGGAATCTCAGTTTCTGTCACTTCAAAAATTATTATTTTGGGGGGCGCCTGGGTGGCTCGGTAGGTTAAGTGTCTGCCTTCAGCTCAGATCATGATCCCAGGGTCCTGGGAACAAGTCCCACGGCGGGCTCCTTGCTCAGCAGGGAGCCTGCTTCTCCCTGTGCCTGCCACTCACCCTGCTTGTGCTCTCTCTCTCTCTCTGACAAATAAATAAATAAGATCTTCAAAAAAATTATTTTTTTAACTTTAGAGGTTATAAAATTACTGAAAAATTTTAGAAAATATAAAAAACAATAAAGTTAAAAATGATCTATTTTCCACCTTCAGCAATAGTCACTGACATTTTTGCTATATTTTCTCCTAACTTTATATCTCTGCAAAATTTTTAAAGTAAGCTGTTTTATTGTATGTACATTTGTATTCTTTTTTTTTTTTTTTACTTAACATCATAACATAATCATTTTTATGTTAAAGAACTCTCGGTAAACATTTTTCTTTTTTTAACTTTATTGAAGAATAATTGACAGATATAATTGTGTATATTTAAAGTATTGAAATCATATCAGGTATATTCTCCACCACAGTAGTATGAAACTAAGAAATCAATTACAGTAGGAAAGCTAGAAAACTCACAAATATGTAGAAGTTAACACACTTTGAACAGCCAGTGGGAAAGGGAAAATCAGAGAATGTCTTGAAACAAGTGAAAATAGAAACACAACATACCAAAACTTATGGGATGCAGGAAAAGCAGTTCCAAGAGGGAAATAAACATTATTTTTAAGGGTGACATAATGTTCTGTCCTATCAGTTGTATCAAATACAATTATTTAACCATTTCCCTATTTGAGATCATTGATCTTAGTAGAGTTTTGTTAGTAGGACTGATTTTGTGAGGAACATCTTTATGAATAAAATGCTTTTTGGTTTTGGATTATTAAGATAGATTTCTAGAAGTGGAAAGATACAGGTCTTTTAAGATGGTTGCAAGGGTGTTAGAGAATTAGGTAAATGGCAATAGAAACTTCCAACTGCAAAAGCTTTGGAATTACGTGTGTCATATCCTTGCCTGTTCTGAAGTGGCTTTCATCATTTAAAAAAGTCTATCTTTATGATTTGAGAATAGAATACTGGGACATTTGGATAGGTTTGGAGATAGTGGATTTTTTTACAGGGAGACATTTGAGCACAGAAAATTTGGGAGATGGAGAAAGAAAGTAGTCACTGTGAGAGTGCTTGGCAAACCCTGTTATTCATTCATTCTCCCAATTCTTCCCACTTTTCAAACTGTTGTGTCTCTGTTCATGCCTTTCTTTTCAGACAAACTGCTCATCTCTGTCTTCTTTAGTATTAGAAATCCTACTGACCTTTCCAGATTTGGCTGAAATGCTCTCTCCTACATGGGTAGCCTTTGCTCTTTTATGTTGCTAGTGTAAAATTTCATTCTATTCTAACATTAACTCACTAAGGGCTGAAACCAGGTCTTACTTATTTCTGTGCCTGTGTAATAAGTACTGAATAAAATGTTCAATGATTGAATGAGAAGAAGCTGAGTAAAAATTCTGTCTAGTAAACTGTCCCTTGAATGAAAAGCCACTGGTTGGTTGGGCCTCAACTCCAGATAATCTTTCTACATACCACTTTTGTAGTAGTCTTCCTAGAATCCTGCTTTCACTGATCACCTAACTTCAGTGGGCCTTGGTTTTCTTGGATATAAAATGAGAAGATTAAGCTGGATAACTTTAAAATGCCTTCTTGTTTCAAATTCTATCATTCTGGATCACTGACCTAGCAGTGAAATCAGTGTTTCAACCATGATAAAGTCAAACATGTCAGCCTCTCTAAGACACCTGCACTCTGGTTGATAAACCCACTGTGCTCATTCTTGCATCTGAGTATTTGTGCAGTTTGTTCCTTTTTTAGAACATGCTTCTCTCTTCTCTGTATGTTCAAATTCTAAACATCCTTTAAGGCCTATCTCAAGCTCTGTTTGAAATGCTTGAATGAGCATTATCTGGCCTCTAGCAATTTAGAGTACTCCCTTCTTTGACCTCCTACAGCAATTATTCTGTGTTCATTTTGACTCTTACCCATATACTATCTTATTGCTATTTAGCATTATTCACTCATTAATTCATGCACCATTTTTTTGAGCACTTGCCATTTCCCTTATCTGTATTTTATTTTCCCCATGAGGTTATAAACTCTTTCAAAGTCAGGAAATGTTCTGTTCATTAAAAGTATTGTTCTTGGGACTGTGTACATAGTAGCTGTTCCAGAAATATTGATTGGGGATTCTTGAATGGAACAAAACTGAGTTAAATCTTTGTTATTATTATATAAAGTTTTTTTCCTGGACAGTAGCAGCTATCATTTGAAAAGTATGTTGCTCATCCTAGGATACTGAAGGCAGACAGTTGTTTTTATCTTAGTCTTTGAACTAATATGACTCTATCATAGAAGCTTGTGGGGGTTTGGGATGACTTAATGTGGGGGTTGAGATTTTGAGCTGGGTTTCGAAGGATGGATTTTGAACACTAGGGAGTTGGTACTATAGGCATTGGACCCCTATTGAGGATTGTGGGGCTTTGTAGTGTGCTGTGCAGGTAATCAGAAATGGTTATAAAATGGTATGAATCGAAAGGGAAAGGGATCGAATGTAGAACAATCAGGTTAGTAGTGGTTTAGGCTAATTTAGGCTTATGGCAGTGGGAAGAAAGCCTAGATGAGTAAGGTGGCAGAAGGATAAAAAGGAAGGGGGTCTACTGTTAGACTGGTCTGAATTTTGACTCCACCATATACTAGTTGTTAGATGCTGGGCAAAGTTCTAGTGTCTCTCTCTTTCTCAGTTTCCTCATCTATAAAATAGGGATAATTATATTATTTTTTAGGGTTGTTATAAGGATTAAATGAGCTAATGAATGGAAAGCATTTAGAGTGGAATTTGATACATGGTAAACTCAATGAATGATATCTGCTATAAATATTCATGATAATTCTTTTAGCTGGTCAGTCATTTCTTGTTTTTTCTTGTAATTCTGAATTGTGGTGTTTATACTGTGTTCTTTTATGAAATCGTATCCATTGATGAGAAATACTTCAATTCTTATAAAAATTTGCTTTCTGTTAAGTGAAGAAATGATTGTAAACTCTCATTCTCTTCTGGTGAAATGTATTGTCATAAGGATAAAAAATGTTTGAAGTTGAAGAGATAGGCGGGGCATTGTTGTACTTAATATGTGGTCTATGTGAACATATGTTCCCCAAGCTCTCATTTTACCTTGTATTCTTCTTTATGTTTGGTTGATCTGTTATGCTTCTGTTTTCTTGATTGTATACTGCTGGACACTAATCATTTTTAAATGGTTCATTAGTTATGATGGTTTTTGTTTTGTTTGATAATGAACTTTATCAAAAGGCTTTATCATACTGTGGTTAAATTGTACCGTGTATTTTTCACTGATCCATATATAAAATTCCAGTTAGTCCTCTGAGATTGTTCTAGAACTTTTCATTATGTAATTGTCTGGGTTGAGGTTTCTATCATGTTTAACACTTTGAGAGAAAAAAAAAAAAACAAGTGTCCCTCCCATCCTCTCTTCAGAATTTCTAAGTTGCATGACAGGTTCAACTGATTGGAGTAATAGGAACCCTCTAGTTATGCTAAATATATGTTCTTTCCAACTTTATGTTACTTGTGCCAGGAAATTTGACCAAAATATATAGATATTTCAAAAATCTAGTTTTCATAATAGAGTGTCATAATATTTCTTTCTTTGATTTATAGTGGTTGGAATTGGAAGGGGAACAAAAATGTTGACCAGTATGTTATCAGGGTCCAAGGTAAGAACACTGGAATACTTTTCTTCTTCTTTTCTCTTGAATGTTTTTCTTAGTGACCTATGTTCTGGATTTTAATCAATTAAAAAATTGTGTACATTGCATTTACAGGTGTTATTCCTGAGTATTAATTGCATTTGTCGTGATAGCTGAGATTCAAAATATTGAGACTATAAATTGGAAATTCTTCAACAAATTGATTTATAGAAGCAAAAACTCTGCAGTGCTTATCATTTTAAAAATTATATTGTCTTTTTATATATTTCTTAGATGAACTAGAACTTACAGATCATAAATTCTATTGGCAGATTTTTTTAAACCTTGGAATTTTTATAGAAACAATGCCATTAAAAAAAAAAGAAACAATACCATTTTATAACCCATACACTTTTCAGCAAAAGACCTGCTATGTTCACTGGTTACAAAATGTTTACTAAAGACAAGTGAGGCTTCTTTAGGGATGATAAGTTACGTCATTCATCTGTGAAAGTAACCTTGGCTGAATCAAAAAGCACTTTTTAAGGCACTTGAGGAGAGAGAGGAAGGTTTATGCAGGGGCAGGGAGAGCTGTGGATAGCTTCAGGCAGTCAGTGAGAACCTTCCTGCAAAACAGCAGGGTAGAAGGAGCATTGAAACAGAGGTCAGTGTGTCAAAGGGGTTAACCTCTGTGGGCCTGTCAGTTTTTCCTTAGGAAGAATGATTCGATCCCCTCTAGGATCTCTTGCAGCTCTAAGAGAGACAATCATATCTGAATTCTAATTGGCAGTGAGGTGCTGGTTATAATATTTGTGGCTAGGGACCAGTGAAAATGCCTATGCAGGAGGTAGAGAAGAATTTCAGCAAGTTCCTGGACTAACTTTATTTATTTATTTAATGTTATGTTATGTTAATCACCAGACATTACATAATTAGTTTTTTTTTTTAAAGATTTTATTTATTTATTTGACACAGAGAGACACAGCGAGAGAGGGAACACAAGCAGGGGGAGTGGGAGAAGGAGAAGCAGGCTTCCCATGGAGCAGGGAGCCTGATGCGGGGCTCGATCCCAGGACCCTGGGACCATGACCTGAGCCGAAGGCAGATGCCTAATGACTGAGCCACCCAGGCGCCCCACATCATTAGTTTTTGATGTAGTGTTCCATGATTCATTGTTTGCGTATAACACCCAGGGCTCCATGCAGAACGTGCCCTCTTTAATCCCATCACCAGGCTAACCCATCCCCCCACCCCCCTCCCCTCTAGAACCCTCAGTTTGTTTCTCAGAGTCCATCGTCTCTCATGGTTCGTCTCCCGCTCCGATTTCCCCCCCTTCATTTTACCCTTTCTACTATCTTCTTTTTTTTTTAACATATAATGTCATTTGTTTCAGAGGTACAGGTCTGTGATTCAACAGTCTTGTACACTTCACAGCGCTCACCATAGCACATACCCTCCCCAATGTCTATCACCCAGCCACCCCATCCCTCCCACCCCCCACCACTCCAGCAACCCTCAGTTTGTTTCCTGAGATTGAGAATTCCTCATATCAGTGAGGTCATATGATACATGTTTTTCTCTGATTGACTTATTTCGCTCAGCATAATTAAAACCCTTCCTTTAAGTGGGATATGAATAGTTGGTCAAGTGAACTTGTCTAAATTGTTTCTTAAAATGTATATATGGTCAAAGACCATTTAAAAAAAACTTCCAGCTTATTGCAGACTAAGGACTTTTGTAAAATATAATTTAAATGCTATGGCAACATCAGATTGCTAACAAGTTTCTAAACACCCTCATTTTCTGAGCTTATCTCATCACGGGTGCTGGCTCATGGAGCGCACTTTGAGTGGCAATGGTCTGAGTACACTTTTCTTAAAATAAAAAGCCCCTGAGAACATACTGTCTTTGACATCCCATTTTAGTTATCAATTGGAATAGAAACCTGTATCTTTCAGTTGGAAAGGATCTTAAAACCTTAGATAAATGGAAAAATTTCAGTGTGTCTTGCTGCATAATCTTTAAAATGTTGGTGTTGAAAAATCACAGAATACAAGAATTGTGTTAGAATGGCAGGGTTTGACGTGTTTTGCTAAATTTGTACATTGTGCTTAAGTACTTACACATGGAGTTTAGAGTTTTTCTTTGATACAGGGTTTTGCCATTTGCTTAATATTTGTTTCTTCTTAATATTTGTTACTTCTTCCAAAGTATAGACAGTGGTTACATTGATGCAGAATTATGGATGATTTTTATTTTCTTTTTTCACATTATTTAGTATTTTCTAAAATCTTGACAATGAACAAATCACTCTTATAATAATAACCAACAAGATATGTTTGCATTAAGGATTTGTTCTTTTACTCCAAGATAAAAGATGTGACATTCATTGGAATATTCATTATTCACCTCTCCCCTCCTCCCAAAACCACAAATACACCACTCTATTGAAAGGTTTTACATATAAATTCCAGGCATATTTCCAGAAATATGACCGGAAATGTAAATACATCATTGGCTGTAGTTTAAGCTTTATTTATCACGAACCATTTTGGTATTCAGCTCGGAAAGCTGAATGTCATACAGTGAAATCACTGATCCTCGGATGACTGTATCCTAAATAGAAAATCCCAGGTGCATCTTATTACAGAAACCTAGTTCTTGGATGCTTCACATTTCAAAAATAGGCATTTTTATCTTGTTAGCCATTTGTTTTTTTTACACTTTTAATTTTAGATTATCTGTTTAAAAAATTAAGTCATTTAAATTTAACTGGAATATTACATTTTTATCAAAAGTAGTTAAAAATTGTTAATGAATTTTTAAAAATAGATTTTGTCTTTAGCACTGGAAGGAATCTTAGAGATTGCTTCCAAAAATTTTTTGACCAAGACCCCTAGTGAGAAATTAATTTTACATTGTGACCCTATATACACATACACATATAAAAACCAGAAATTTCAGGGACGCCTGAGTGGTTCAGTTGGTTAAGCTTTCGGCTCAGGTCACGATCTCAGGGTCCTGGGATTGAGCCCTGGGTGGGACTCCCTGCTCAGCGGGGAGCCTGCTTCTCCCTCTCCCTCTGCCCCTCCCCAGTTTGTGCGGGTGCTTGGTCTCTCTCTCTCTCTCTCTCTCAAATAAATAAATAAAATCTTAAAAAAAACAAAAAGCAAAAATTTTGTCAAAGAGCCTTAACCCTATGTACAATGTACTCTTGATATTTTTCCTTCTACTTCATGAAAAAAAATTGGTGCCTGCAGCCTCCAAACTAGGCACGGACCTACCAGACCTACCATTGGACTTAATGTTTACTCCTTCTCCACCTTCTACTTTTACAGATGAATTTTATTTACATCACAATGCCACTAGAAAAATTCATCTTATAGTATGTGTAGGGTAGAGTTACCTCAAGGGTAGAATTATTTTGTTCTTGGATGGCAGATATTCAGTGTTCCCATTACAGCCATATCACAGTGCATCCCTCCCTCACCATCCAGTCCTGATTAGAGACATTGCTAATTGAACATGGCCTAACACTCTTTCCTGCTGAACCAAGAAACATCCTTAGAATTCATTTCAACATAATGCCACTTCATACAGCCACTGCCAATTAATGGGTGGAGTGCTGACCTTTTTAATAAAATCTTTATGCCATCAGATGGTTTGGTTCCATTCTTTGAAGACCAGAGACCATTTAAACCACCCAACTCCTTTCTTGCATTCCTTCTGATTCAGATCAGTGTGTGATCTAAGAGTCCCGCTCTGTGTTCTTCACCGCTTCTTCTCCTATCTTATAGTACTCTTTGCTTTGCCAGTGATCATGTTTCTTTTGAGCCATTTTTTTTTCACTGCATGTTCTTTTGAGTTACATTTATAATGTGTATAAAAAGCATCTAGGTTTTCTATATAATGCCTTAAGTACAGAAGTTGATCGATAAATCCTATTAAGAATTGACCCTTGAAAAATGCAGAAGTTAAGGGTACTAACCCCCTACACAGTCAAAAATCACCATATAACTTTGGCTCCCTAAAAATTTAACTTACTAATAGCCTGTTGTTGATCGTAAACATTACTGATATCATATATAGTCAATTAACACATAGTTTGTATGTTATTTGAATTTTATACTGTATTCTTAAAGTAAGCTAGAGAAAAGAAAGTGGTATTTAAGAAAATCATAAAGAAAACATGCACTTACAGTACTGTACTATAAAAAATTACATATAAGTGGGCCCACACAGTTCAAACCCATGTTATTCAAGTATCAGTAATACTACTATTCCCAAGTGTTTTGTGTATCCCCAGATCTCTCTGCTGAGTTCCAGGCCTATTGGATCTCTCTAACTACATGTTCCGTAGACACTGGCATTTATATTATCTAGGCAAGTTCTGTTGGAAACCTTGAGTACAGTTAATTTCATTCCTTTTTCCTATCTATTTTTTCCGGTAGCCTAGGCAAAACATGGCACTCATCAGAAACAGGAAGCATCACCTGCCAGTTCTTTAGGGAGAAGCAGTTTCTCTGGGCGTTAAAGTGAGAAAGAAATTTCTTAGTGTGAGGGATATTGCATGACAGACAGTGGTTCTCAAAAATAGTTTTATAACAGATACAGAAGTGGATCTATATAAAATATAACTTAGGTAAGATAATTCTGAGAGAAGTTAGGCTAATGTGTCCCTTTGGCCTAACTTGGTCTAAATACCTAGAAGAAGGCAGTGATTGCATGGTCCCTCTACCAGCTTCCCTAACTTATACTTTCTTTGAGCCAATCACTAAGCAGATGTACTTAGAAGTAACAAACTTTGATGAGATTTTGTAGTACTACCTTTATTAGCTTCCTATATTGCTGATTAAAGTCAGTTACTTATATGTGCTTTAGAAACCACATGAGCAGATGGAAGGGTTGATGTCTTATGAAATCACTGATGCCATATAAAGACTAAGTAGCATTTTCCAAACGTAAGGCCACTCCCCTATCTCTGTGGAGATAAACCGCAGTGGTACCTATAGGCAAAGCCAGCATTTCTTCAGAAAGCAGCTTTGTATCCCTCCAACGATTGGCCAAATATTATTGTTGGGGTATCCAAACTTTTCCACCCTGGATGTGTTCAAAAGACAGTAACCTTCCCCCAACTGTACAGTAGCATTTTGAGAGTAACCAGTCAATGGCAACTCTGAAGTGTGACTTGCATATTGCTCCTGTGAAATATAAGCCAACTCTCCAGGACTTGTGCATTTCTGTTGTTTTCTCCAGAGGCTAGGCTAGTTTGTACCTTGTCTTTACACTCTATTAATATTCATACATTTCATAAGTACTATATTGAAAATTTGAAGGGCTTACACTTATGATCTGTAAAGAGCTATTCCTTTTTTAATGAAGACATTTGAAGTCACATGTTCTTGGTTTGGTAGGTTTTTAAAAAAATGTTCTTCCTCATCGTAAATAATATTCCTTTGTTTGTGAAACTTTGATCACAAGCTTTCAAACCAAACCTCGGAAAAAGCAGTTGCCTAGTTGAGATGGAAATGATTATGTATCCTTTCTGTAATATAAAAATATTTTCCTTTCTCCTGAAGAGTACAGAAGCCAATTTGCTCTTAAAGCTGTATAGCTAGTATCTTGCTGTGGGGTTCAGGGAACTTGAAGATGAGTAGAGAGTAGAGTGGTACTAGTAGCAGAGAGAAGCCATGAATCCCAAAGAGCACACAGTTCACTGGAAACTTCTTTAAGAATTCCATAGGCCCTCCATTTGTTTTGTTGTAGTCAAATTATGTTGTAATGAATACCTTAATAGAATTCAGAATTACCAAGTATGCATCCTGTCTCTGTGTAGAATTTAGGGCAGTAAACAGAAATACTTTAGACCCCATAGGATAAAATGGTGGTGTGTGTATACACATTCCCATGTCTTTTTTCTTCTAACCCATATCTTCCTGGTGGTGAGGTTTTGTTTCTCTTGGAGGCTTACCTCTCTGGGCGGATTTTTCTAAGTAGCTTGTGGACCATTTTTTTTTTTAAAGATTTTTATTTATTTATTTGACAGAGAGAGTGAGAGAGGGAACACAAGCAGGGGGAGTGGGAGAGGGAGAAGCAGGCTTCCCGCTGAGCAGGGAGCCCGAAGCGGGGCTCGATCCCAGGACCCTCGGATCATGACCTGAGCTGAAGGCAGATGCTCAACGACTGAGCCACCCAGGCACCCCGCCTGTGGACCGTTGACTAGAATTAAAAGATTATTATCATTAGATGCCAAGACAAGGGAGAGCTAGAAAACAGCTATGATTTAGATCAACAATTCACAAAATATGGTCCAGGGACTTCTGAGGCTTTTTCAGGGGTCCGTTGAAGTCAAAACTGTTTTCATAGCTTTGCAGTCTGATGAGCATATTGTGGAGTTTTTCAGAGGTTACCTGATTGATAGGATGGCTTTGATAGTTAATGGAATGTGTGCATGTATATCGGTGTTTTAAACATTTTTGTGTTTTAATTTCTAACACAATAAGTATCAACCGATAGAACTCATATGGAAAAAAAATTGTGCTAAGATTTCTAAATAACTTTCAAGTGTATATAGGGGTTTAAAACCACAATGTTTGAGAATTGCTGATTTAGGTATTATTTCCCTTAAAAAAAATCCAGCATGTAGCCAGATTTCAGCATAAGCACAGAACCTGGAAGGATTTGAAACTTGGCAGATACAATCTGGATGTCCCAAACTATGGTGAAATGCGAAGAATTGCACAGATAAGAACTTCTCCAGCATGTATATAATTCTATCAACTTTTTATTAAGTGGCTACCATGTTTCCATTTAGTAAGAAACACAATAGAACAGCAATGCAAAATCCAAGCTAGCAGTTTGTAATTGGAGAAGATAAGGATCAATATATATCTATCTTTGTATTTCTCACAAGCACCTAGGAAAATAAGATGCACATTCACAGTCCTTAAGAAACATGATTGAATGAAAGCACACACTAATGAATGAGTGAATACATGATGTGGGTTTGATATAGGCCTTCATTCTTATATAAGAAACTTGTATTAAGCACCTACTCTTAGCTTTGCTGCCAGCTAGGTGATTGGAAGTTGAGATGAATTAATAGGGTGGCTTGGAAACATGAACAGTGGGTAGGGTTTGATTCTTAGAAAAGAGAGGAAGCTCAAGGCTAGGGAGGTAGCATGTGCAAGAACCCCTGGAGTCCAGAGTGGAGAATGAACATTGCATACTTGGAAAGCATGTTCCAAGATTAAAAGATTCCTGGTTAAAACTTGTTACATAGGATAGTGCATACATTTTCAAGGCATAGTATATACATGATTGCATGGTTTTTCTCATGCAACAAGATAGATGATTAAGGCAAAAATCAGAGTGTTTTCTTGCTTTACTGTTGCTTATGGGAACTCACTATAACCACTGTTACTGTAAATCATTCTGTATCTTTTTTTTTTTTAAATAATAATGATGATAGTATTGTTCAATGTTGCTTACCATGGCCAAGTATTGTTGTTCTCGGCTCTGCCCTCCTGAGGTACTATTGTCATCTCCATCTTAAGATAAGGATAACAAGGCTCCAGCAGGAAAGACTGCCTTAACCTACTTTACTCATGTGATGGAGTCAGGATTCAAACCTTTGAGTCCACACTCTTCCCATTCACCCTGCTGTATGTACTTCTCTCCATGGTACGCTTAATCCAGGTGGATTGTTCCAAAATATGCAAGCAGGAGTGGAGCATCTCGGGTGATGAGACTGAATGTTTAGTTACAAGAAACTAATTTTTATCGATACTAATGGAATTTTAATAGTTAACATACAGTGTTATATTAGTTTTGGATGTACAGTATAGTGATTCAGCAATTCTGTATGTTACTTAGTGCTCATCACAACAAGTGTACTCTTTAAACCCCATCACCCGTTTCCCCCATCCCCCCACCCACCTCCCCTCTGGTTACCTTCAGTTTATTCTCTCTAGTTAAGGGTTTGTTTCTTGGTTTGTCTCTTTTTTCCTTTGTTCATTTGTTTTGTTTTCTTAAATTCCACATATGAGTGAAATCATGGTATTTGTCTTTCTCTGACAATACTAGTGAAATTTTTAAAAGTTAATTCAAATACATTGGAACGTTTCCTCCTGTATTCCATTGTTTTTTTGTTTGTTTGTTTTTTTAAAGATTTTATTTATTTATTTGACACAGAGAGACACAGCGAGAGAGGGAACACAAGCAGGGGGAGTGGGACAGGGAGAAGCAGGCTTCCCATGGAGCAGGGAGCCCGATGCGGGGCTCGATCCCAGGACCCTGGGATCATGACCTGAGCCGAAGGCAGACGCTTAACGACTGAGCCACCGAGGCGCCCCTGTATTCCATTGTTTTAAAAAATTACTTTGAGGGGCGCCTGGGTGGCTCAGTTGGTTGAGTGTCCAACTCTTAATTTCGGCTGAGGTCATGATTTCAGGGTCCTGAGATCGAGCCCCATGTTGGGCTCTGTGCTCAGTGTGGAACCTGCTGGAGAGTCTCTCCCTCTCCCTTTTTTTCCTCCCCCTGCTCGTTCTCTCTCTAAAAATAAATAAATCATAAAAAAATTATTTTGAGCTATATAATAGAAGATGATTTCATCAGTGGGCACTTAAGCTGGTATAAAATGCTTGTTTATGGGAATATGAAGTTTTAATATTTTCCTCATTTTTGTCTCTGGTTCCTTCACTAGCGTAATAAACTTGTCATTAATAAACTTACGTTTCTGCAAAGTACTTTGAGCTTCCTCTTTAAAAAAATGTCCACATAACTACAGATTATTTTCAGTGGGAATTATATTCCTTGCATTTTTCTCACTGCTTCATGTGATGTTCCAAGTAAAACTTGAATTTGACCAAAAGAGAGCAGTATAAAGAATATGTAATACAGGGGCACCTGGGTGTCTTAGTCAGTTGAGCGTCAGGCTCTTGATTTCAGGCTAGGTCATGATCTCAGGGTCCTGAGATTGAGCTCCGTGTCAAGATCTGCACTCAGCAGTGGGGAGTGTGCTTCTCTCTCTCTGCCCCTCTCCCCGCTTGTGTGCTCTCTCTCTCAAAAAAATAAATAAATCTTAAAAAAAAAAAAATGCAATATAAGTGTGCCCTGAGGTGAGAAGTAAAATAGTCCTCAGTTAACTATGCATGCTCTAATTCTTCACTTACGAATAAATGATCAGTTCTTAAAAGTGACTTTTTTCCTTTCAGAGAACTCAAGAAGTAGCTATTTCTCTATTAAGAAAACACATGTAATATTAAGTACAGTACCTCCACTTTACTAGTTTGGTCCACTTTCTACATATTTAGCTTTTGTTTAAATATCTAATCAAGTTACTGAGATTAGTCTTAGTATTTCATGTAAGAAGTAGTAAACTGATTTTATTTTTAAATTAATTTTAATTATATGTGTGGTAAAATTGTTGAGTCTTGTGATGGCCAGGTAGGAATTTATTGTACCATTCTCTCTACTCATATTTGAAATTTTTCCTTCAGAGTCAAAACTGCCTAGTATAAAACTGGTTTTAGAAATATGTTTGTAATAACTGTGTTTATAAGCCATAATTGTCAATAAAATCAGGCTTTTCTTTGTCATGTTGGCTTGTGTGGGAAGTTTGTGAATGCTCCTCAGTTTACACAAGCGCTTCCCACATATCAAAAATTAACAAAACAGCTGCAGTCTCTTATTTTTGCCTTTATTTTGTGTCAAGTTGGTCGCATTAGTGAAATTGTGTATAAAACTTTAAGACATACGTAACAGTTTTTTTCTTTACCTTATGGCCTGTTTTTCTCCCTTGCTTCTCTTCCTCTAGAGGTATATTGCCATTGGAGAACTGGGGAAAGCTACTGACACGCTAGATTCTACTGGGAAAGTAACAGAAGAAAAACCTTACGGTATGATGTTCATCTAATGTAGTTGTCTTTTTTAACATGTAGAGAAAGTTTCTGTGAATTCAGAATTTTAAAATAAATCTCTCACTGGATATTACCAGTGATTATTGCAGTTCTTAGTACATTTCCTTGGGTTAATAGGATTGAAAGTTGTTTATCACATTTTTACTTATTTGGTATGAGTTTATTAATAAAGATTTATCAAAATTGCCTCTTTTCCTGTGATCATTTTTTTTAATGTTCAGAGTTCTTCCAGATAATTCTCTTGCCAAAAAAAACATTTATAGCTAAGAATTAGGGATTTTACCTGTGTCTTGTCATTGTTTATTGACTTATTTTTTTACAGCTACTTCTTAGCTTTTGAAATGTAGCAGGTTTAGTGCTTTACACCTAATCATGTTCCTCTGCTTTTGGAGTATGTAAAAAAATGTGACAGAGGGAAAACTATTTCTCTGGAAGTAAAACAGAACTCACGGGGGCCTACCTTAATTTTTGTACCATTCCTTCTTTTACTACTTTAAGTAAGGATAGATAAGTGAAATGGTTTCCTAGCAATTCTCAGGGTGCAGTGCTCTTCCCAATACAGCAGTTGCCATTCTGTACAGTTGGCTCACCTACATATTTATGTCATCAATTGTGAATTGTTTGTAGGCTTTCTGGTTGTTGTTGTTTTGTTGTTGTTGCTTGTTTTGTTTTTGCCTGTGTTTAATGTTACCTCTTTTTATTTTTTTATTTTTTAATTTTTTATTATGTTAATCACCATACATTACATCATTAGTTTTTGATGTAGTGCTCCATGATTCATTGTTTGCGTATAACACCCAGTGCTCCATGCAGAACGTGCCCTCCTCAATATCCACCACCAGGCTAACGCATCCCCCCACCCCCCTCCCCTCTAGAACCCTCAGTTTGTTTTTCAGAGTCCATCGTCTCTCATAATGTTACCTCTTTTTAATTTAGCCAGTCCAGCATCTGGCTTTCCTATGTTTTTGTGTTGAGTGTCCTGAATATATATTACATACCAACCTTCTTCTTGGTCATAGTAGCTTCACTTGTCTTGTTAACATTTATATGTAACATAGTATCTTACTTGATTAATCAAGCAACATAATCAAAAGATAAATCATTGATTTGAGTTTAAAAAAAATAGGTGTTGAATTATCTTTGAAATTATTGTCATTAGGAAATAATAGCAGACCCTCACTTAATAGAAACCCAACCATAATTTTCAACAGAAAGCTTTTAAGGGATTAAAGAGGCATAGGACAATAGAAGGATGTCAGAGATTTCCAGAGTATGCTAAAGTATATGCCAGCACCTATATAATCAGAAGAATGGTGAGGAAGTAAAATTGATAACACTGCTCGATGGGATGGGGTGGTGAGGGAGAGGACACTGTCAAACCTGACCCTAGGTTCCTAGGTTTTAAAGTTGGTTACGTGATGGTGCAATTCATTGAGTAGGGGATACTAGAAGAAGACCAAGGTGATGAAAATACAGTTGACCCTTGAACAGCGCAAGTTTGTCTTGTGTGGGTCCACTTATACATGGAGTTTTAAAATAAATACAATGGAGTACTGTAAATATGTTTTCCTTATGTTTTTTTTTTTTTTTAAAGATTTTATTTAGAGAGAGAGTGTGTGCTTGTGAGCAGGGGGAGGAGAGGAAGGAGAGAGAGAATCTCAAGCAGACTCCGTGCTGAGTGCAGAGCCCCACACAGGGCTCAATCTCATGACTCTGAGATCATGACCTGAGGCGAAATCAAGAGTCAGTCGCTTAACCGACCTAGCCTCCCAGGTGCCCCTTCCTTATGATTTTCTTAGTAACATCTTTTTTCTAGCTTACTTTACTCTAAGAATGTAGAGTAATATATGTATAATATATATAACATATATATTATATATATAATGTAGAGTATATATATAATATACAAAATATGTGTTAATCAGCTGTTTATGTTATTGGCAAGGCTTTCGGTCAACAGCAGGCTATTAGTAGTTAAATTTTGGGGGAGTCAAGAGTTATACATGGATTTTTGACTTCATGGGGGTTCCGTGCCCCTTAACCCCTGTGTTGTTCAAGAGTCAACTGTACTTAAATATTCCCTTCCTTCCTGCCCTTAAGCATCTTGGAATTTTAAAAAACTCTACTTTGCATTGTGCAATTTGTAACATTACTTACTTACTTTAAAGGAAACTTAGTCTGTTAAAATCATCTCATTATATGTTGAAATAAGTCATGGAGAAACCAAGTAACTTTCTTCAGGCCGGAAAGGGAGACTTCCCTATAGTTTACTGAATAGTATTTATAGTCCCAGAAAATGAAAGCTCAGAGAATTTTGCTTATTGACATGAGTTTTCTGTGTGATTTTAGTGAATTAGCGGATGTTTGTCATCGATTTAAGCTGCTATAGCAGGTACCAAAGGGAAGATAAATAAGTATGAGACCTAACCTGTGTCCTTAAGGAGCTTCTGTCTAATGAAGAAGTAGGACCTATGTTCTCAACCCTCTGAGACCCAATACTGAGACCTGTAACCAATATTTTATAATGCCTTCCTCACTGTCTTGAACTAAAATTCAGAGATACTCTCCCCTACCTACATGTTAGAAAAAAAGTCAATATAATACAATAAACAGAATATGAAGAATAAATAAAAGTAATTTATAATAAAATGGGTATGTTGCTATGTAAATTCACAGCTGTTACTGCACTAAAAGTTGTAATGAACTAGTCAGATGTTGACACAACTATGAATGCCACAAGTATAAAGGCAGACTGATACAGGTATGTTGTATTAATGACTCAGTATTGGAAAATTCAGTATATGAAAAACAGTACAAAAAATACTTTGTGTTTCAGTGGAAAATGGACTTAGATTCTAGCCTCAGGTGATTATAAACAGGCTTTCATCCACATGAATATCTGGCAGACATCCAGAAGTTAGGTGGTACACAGAACACCTGATCATGCTGTCCCATCCTGCATATTGTAGGACATCCAGCAACTGGGAAATGCTGCTGATGCTGCTACCCCACCCAGTCACTGTAACAGTAAAAAAATGCAGTTCTTAATTGACCTGTTGTGGACAACTGACATATGGGTAAGGAAGTAAGGCAGGATGCAGTAAATGACAAATGGATGCTTTTCAGTCATTTTTGTTCTATCTAGACAAACTCTTATTTTTAGCTATTGTTTCAGATACCTGAAAGCTCAGAAGAATAAGAAAATGAGTCTGGCTCAGTAGACTCAAAGCTCAAACCATATTAATAGGACCCTTCCTTTTATTCTGTTTCATGGCACCTTCTTTTATTTCTAAATAGCTTTTCACCATTTATAAATACACATTTGCGTGTTAATCCCTAAGCTATGGGGCTGAGACCATGTCGCTTTCGGTCCTCACTATATTCTTGATGTCTAGGACAATGTGTGGCATATAGAATAAAGCATGGCCTGGGAATAAATAAGGCAGGCAATAAATAAGCATGTCAGAGATGACTGCAGCTAAGTCACACAAAAGGCAAAGCATCTTCCTACCTTCTGCTGCTCTTTTCTTGTCCACGTCTAGGTATTAAGTCTCAGGCACAGTTGCTGGCATCTCTGAGGACACTTGGCTTCATTGTGCTCATCTGCTCTTCGCTGAGCTCAGGACATGAGTGCCGTGGCATCCCAGGCTGTCCTAGATGTGGGCCAAGCTTCTGGGATGGCCTCACTGCTTCTGTGATAAGAATAGGTTCTCTCTCTTTTGTGGCTTTTTTACTGGGAGGCAAGAAATGTAAAAGGAAGGTGGTATCTCGTGCTAATCCTCTGTTCTAAACACTGCAACCCCCCGGTCCCAAGATAAGATGTTACCAAGGTCTTCTCGAGTGGATGTAGCTAATGTATCTAATGGGAGTGGCTCTTTGCGCTTTGGCTGCCCACACTTCCTGGAGGAAGCTGACAAGTTGAATTGGGTCTCGAATTATGACTTAAACAAATAGGGCACACACTCTAGTAGGCCTGCTGTGTACCTGGGTATCAGTCATCTTATGGTGCCTTTCATTTGTATTTAAACCTTTTTATTATAAAATGTTACACAAATAAAAGTGAGTGAAACTTAAATTTACAGCTCAGTGAACTATCACAAAGCAAACCTCCCTGCAGCTACCAGTCTAGTCAAGAAATAGAAGATTCCTAGAGACATCTCTCAAGCCCCATCCCATATATAACAGTCTTCTGTTGATACACATTTGGGTTGACCCCAGTTTGAGGCTTTATGAATAAAGCTGCTATGTGTATTTTGTACCGGTTTTTTGGTAGACACATATACTCATTTCTCTTGGATATACCCCCAGGTGGAATTGCTGGGTCATAGGGTAATCCTGCTGTACTGGGAATTGTCAACAGTTTTCAAAGTAATTGTATAACTTTGCATTTTCACCACCAGTAAATGAGTTCCCCTTGTTTGGACAACACATGGTATTAACAGTGTTTTTAAAGTTGGCCATTCTGATAAGTGTGTAGTGGTATTTCGTTGTGATTTTCATTTGATTGCTAATGAAATTCAGCATTTTATCATATGTGCTTTGGCTTCTTAGCCATATTCTTTTTTGTATTGTCCAGGTCTCTTGCCTCTTCTTTTGTTTTAGTTTTTTTTTTTTTTTCTTTCTGTATTGAATTGCCTTTTTCTGGGGGGGGGAGGTAGATCAGTGTTTATTAAATATTGCACAATAAGCACAAACTACAAGAAAAACTGAAAATTGAAACGTTAATATTTTAAGTCTTTTGTTCATTGGATGTCATTTTTTTTAATTTGGTTGATTTTTATTAATACATTTAATTTTATTTTTTTAAAATTTTATTATGTTATGTTAATCACCATACATTACATCATTAGTTTTTGATGTAGTGTTCCATGATTCATTGTTTGCGTATAACACCCAGTGCTCCATTCAGTATGTGCCCTCTTTAATACCCATCACCAGGCTAACCCCTCCCCCCACTCCTCTCCCCTCTAGAACCCTCA